CCCCCCCCCGCCAAACTGTATGTTAAGTAATACATTGTCTGGGAAAAGATCCTGTATGGAACAGTGGCCTCCAGAAGTAAGCTAGTTTCAACATGGACATCTATGCAACTTATCTAATTGACATGTTTTTCTCAGGTGTGCTGTTCTTACGTTATGGTCTCCCCCTCCCCCTTCCCCTTCTCCAGTCATGAATTTTTTCTTTTGAGGTATAATTCACATACCATAAAATTCACCCTTTTTTAAAGGTGAGTTCTGTGGGTTTTAGTATATTCACAAAGTTGTGCGACCATCTCCACTGTCTTCCAGAACATTTTCATCACTCCATTCCTTCGTTCTCCTAACCCCTGGCAACCAACAATTATTTTCCTTCTGTGGATTGACCTCTTCTGGACATTTCATATAAATGGAATTGAACTATACGTGGCCTTTCATATCTGGCTTATTTTACTTATTAGCAAAGGTTCATCCTCATTGTCACATGAACCAGTACTTCACTTTTTATGGCTGAATAATATTCCATTGTATGTTTATACCACATTTTGGTTTTCATTCTTCAGTTGGTGAACATCTGTGTTTCCACTTTTTGGCTACTGCTGCTACTAGCGTTCGTTCCCACACGTCCTTGTCTCATTCGTGATCTTAGGGGGAAGGCTTTCAGACTTCACTGCTGGGTATGATATAGGCTGTGGGTTTTCTTAGATGCTGTTTTTATCAGCTTGAGGAAGTTCCCTTCTATTTCTAGTTTGTTGAATGCTTTTATTGTGAAAACGTGTTGGATTTTGTCAGATGCTTTTTCTGCACCTATTAAAATGATCATGTGGTTTTTGTCCTTTATTCTGTTAATATGGTCTGTTCCATTGGTTGATTTTCTTATGTTGAGCATTGTAATATTTTATAGAGCTTTTTATATAATGTTCTCTTACTGTGTGGTTTTAAATAATTTGAACCAATTTCTCTACCTTATATTTCAGGCATTTATTAATACAGCAAAAGAAATTTATGAAAAAATCCAAGAAGGAGTCTTTGACATTAATAATGAGGTATATATATATATATATATAAATATTATTGGCTAGTTAATTTAGAATTGAATTTTAATTACTTGGATTCAAGATTTTTACTTTTAAAAATTCCTAAAATGGATCTATGATGTCAGTTAACACATTAGTTTATAATCATCTCATTGAAAATTTGTTATATGTTGTATAATAGCTAAATGTTTATGTTCTAGTGAAGCATCACTTTATGAAAACGGATTAAAGTAAGTGACCCTATCCGTTTATTGCAATCAATGCAAAATAATATAAATCCTCCAAAGAAAGAAGAAAATACACTTTCATCTACACATCCATATGGTGTCATCTGCTTTGGGAATAATTTTCTAGTGTGTAAATGCGTGTGCAACGTCAGCTAATGCAAGGTGCTCTCTCCGTTGTGTCTGGTGCGGAGAAGGGAGGCGTCCAATTGGAAGTTACTCCCAGTTCAGCATAGCGCGTTTTCAGGAGCCTGAGTTAGTATATGTAATTGGCAGTTGGTACTAGTTGTTTTTTTTTGTGTGTGTGTGGGTTTCTTTTCTTTTCCTTTTTTTTTTCCCCTTTTTTTTTTTTTGTAAAATTATTTTGAGCCAATTTTGATCAACATGATTAGGATAAAATGTAACTTTGAAGCAAATAATTCAGAGTGTTTACCAAAGGCCATCGTTTTGACCTAAATCACCACTATGCATTTGTCCCTATTTATTTCAGAATTTTTATGTGGATAAGAGCATATTATTTACTTTTACATGAATGTTTCTGCCATTCTATAATAAGACTTCTTGCTTCCAAGAGAAAAACCCTTATTCCTCCCCCAGGTGCAGTGAGGAAGCACCGTGTTAGGAAGACATTGTGTGTGCGTCTCTTGGCACGTGCAGGAGAGCCTCTTTATTATCTGTCTCAATATTCTTTGCTAAAACAAACAACAGTTTGCCTAGGGTTTCCAAAAAGTGTTTGATTTTCCAGTTTCTTTTAATTTGTAGTGATAAAGTTTCTAACCCATATTTTCCAGGCTTATATGGCAATAGATCTTGAGCTGATTTAAAGGCGACACCATTCAGAGACTAATGCCATATAAATTGAACAGTAATTGGGCGTCTATGTAAAGGGCATGTTCATTGTCTCTGTCTGGTTTCATATAGTAGCTGACTGCTTTACTGTGCCTGGCGTGGCTTTGATTGCAATGTGCTGTCAGGAGCCAACAGGCCGTGCGATTTATCTGGCCTAATGCCAAGTCTGACTTCTTGATTCCTCAAGAAGTTGCTACCAGCCCAGAGGGGGCAAAACCAATGAGCCATAGGGCATGCTTTTTATTAAAGAGGAGTCAGAAGAGCGAAAAGAAACCACATCAGCTGCTGTCAATACTGAGCTAGTGCCAGAAACCCCAAGGCTACTACTGTTGCAGAACAACTGCCAAGCACTATAAATCTGAGATTTACTGTGACGTAAAGTTTCCTTAAGAGCTTAATTTCTGAAGCTACTGTATTACTTTTCTCAGAGTGTTGTATTTTTAGGTAAAATCCACTTGAGGGAGTGAGGGTTGAGACATAAGTGTGAGTTTGATGAATGAAAGAACCACTCTGTGTGTGGGTTCTTGGCAAGCTGCCATGTCTTTGGGGATCATAGAAATTATTGATGACACAGAACACTCATATGCCCTTAGCCTGTACAGCTGATTCAACATGGAACAGAAGCGCTGTCTAGAGGAAGGATTGTACGTTGTATTAGAGGAGCATAGGCTTTGCATATTTTTCTCTTTTAAAGATTACGTTTTAAACAATCTCTCCATTGTGAGAATTCCCTTAAAAGCAGCACTCCAGTTTCTGTTAACGCAGTACCTGGTATGATAGGGAATTGTTTGCAGGAATTTTTCTACAAGTATTATTTTAAAAGGAAGGAACATCCCCTGAGACATATTGTTTTAATTGTTGTAAAAATCTGCTTAGCATATATATATATATATATATATATTT